CTCTACAAACACTTTGGAAACGGAGCAACCATCCAAACTTACAAGTCCACCCCGCATATAACAGGAACATCATCGGTGTATACAAGGGCCCACAAGGGGTGGTGAATGGACACCCCTTAACCCCGAAGGGGCCTTTATTAGACACCCCTTCAGGTCAAAGAAGATTGACTAACATCCATTGAGGGGTCGCTACTGGGGTCGCTCTATTCTATGACACAATGACATGATGTTTTGCCAGTTTGGCGTTACGTGCAGTCACAGAGGCGCAAACGTCAATTCTCAAATAGCGGACGTTTCCTAATTGGGGTAAAGAATCTATACACTCTTGAACTATTCAACCAGAGCTGGTCGGGTGATTCGGTTTGCTCTGGTAACCTTTCCCATAAGATTACCAGATCTCAAGTGACCTTGTGACCCTGAGCTTTTGCTGGGTTTGGCTTAGGGGTTCCTAATGCAGAATCATCACTCTATCATCACTCTTCGGCCCGCGCGTCTCCCACGTTCTAGGTCCTGGAACCTTCCCTTGACCAACATCACCTGACACCGGAACCAACGAGGCCCGCATCGGCTGAAGCATCGGTGGAGGTCACGAGGGGCGAGGGGGCTGGCGCCGACCATGGACAGACTCTAGGGGCGCGGCGGGGCACGAGGAGAGCACCGCAAAGACACGGGGGTTCTGAGCATGACTCGGGGGCCCAGCTTGGCATTGTCATGATGATGCACGGCGAACCCAGCTTGAAATTCAATTCACCCTGTGGAGGGAACACAGCTTGTACGGCGCCAGCACGTCTGCATCTATGAACAGGTCAAAGAGAAAAAAAGCAACGCAAAGGTTCTGTATCTGCGTCACAAGCAAGTTCTGTGCGCATATACTGCTCCAAGAAAAAACATGAAAGGTCATGAAAGAATTGTAGCCTGACACCCCGACACCCCCAAACACCACCAACCAAAATAAGGTCAGCGATGGTCAGCGTAAAGTATACGCATCACATCAGATCATTGTAGTACTCAGTACTCCTTTGCCGGCGGTCCACCTTGAACTTCGGGGCCTTTGCCGGGCCACAGCGCAGTCACTGTGCGGGATCGCTGCCAAGGAGCTGTCGTGAAGGCCGACATCAGAATGCCCACAGAGCATACCCCCGTGAAGCAAAGCCCTGACGAGGGCTTGAACACTTCGCCCACGAAACGCGTAAACGCCACACCACGGGCGCCACACGATCAACGACCAATATCTCCGTTGGTCGTAAGTCGCGCAATAGGGAGACCAGGGTCTGCTACAAGCAGCAACGCCGCACAACCCCACTATATCCCACTATAGTAGGTGGAGGCCATTAAAATTACACACCCACCAGCGAAAAACGCAATTCGTGGGACTGATCTGCGTCGACATGCATCGCTTCACCCGTTTGTGAACACGTGCGCACCGGTTCACCCGGGGTTTCGGGCTCCTGTCTCCTAGGGGACGCTCCCAGGAGCTCTGGGAGCTTAGCAAAAGCGACCAGTGGTGGACCCCCGTTTTTGCCACTGCAAAACCCTAAGGAGATGGCTCTGGCTATTCCTGTTCAACAACCTGAACCTGGTTGGTGACCACTCACAGTAAGGAACTTCATTGAACTTTTCCCCTCAAATATAGGGGAGCTTTACAGCGAAAGCTCCAGCTGAGTCGATCTCTTTAGGGTTCCTGTTACTAATTGTTGGATTATTGACTATGCATGGTTTTGAGGTAGATCTGGTGGTGTCCGTCGGACACTCCCTCAAAAAAACATCAAAGAGCATCGGAGAAGTGTAGTTCACCATTGTGCACGTGCTTTTTCTATGATAAAAGAATTCGCCAAGCAATGAGCCGGCCTTTGTTTGTTCCTTCTATTGGGGTGTCGTTGGCGGCATCACGTTGAACCAAACTGCTCAGCGATGCTGCGCCGCACGGTGTCGCGCGCCGCGCGGTGTAGAAAACCGCGCCGCGCATTCCGCGTTGCGGCTGTTGTCCCGCCTGTCCAGTAGGGATCCCAGCCTTATTGCTATCGTTGATTGGTGAATCCGCAATGGAAGGGCTCTGCAAACAGAAACACTTGAGTGGTCCACTTTGTGACATTATATTTGATAATAGTTTTACCTATCTTGGACATTATTGACCTATTAGGTTGCTCACTTGGGCTATCTATCCCCTCTACTAATCAACCAACCAATACTAAAGTCCATCATAGTCCATCTATCGCTTACATCGATTTGTGTTGGGGCTCCAAGATCGCTCGTTGCGCTGAGCGACCATAGTAGACTTCCAGCATCATCAGGGTGGAGACTTCCACCGCCGCCAACGTGAAGGGTCGCTCCTTTCGACGATGCCGGAGGCACTGGAAACAGGAGGCGACCTTGTCGACAAGCTCTTCAACATGTGACTGGGGTACAATTGGTTTGGTACAATTGGTTTGGTGAAAAAAGAACTCGAAAAACGTCGTTTGGGATGCATTCAAATCATTATCAACCATGTTTTGTCTCATACACTGATGGTATCTTTGAGGCTCTGCAATTGGGGAATAGGACAGAATCATTGTAGGCGGAATAGGACATGGTTTCTCAGCAACCCATCTTTTTCGGCCCAATGTGTTGGCCTCGCCCTCGCTTCGCCCGGAACCACCATCGAACCCTCTTTCTTCGTTCCTCCGACCCCCCTCTGCGGAAAACCGTGCGACGCGGTGGAGTCAAACCAAGTCCAACCAAGCCGCGACGGCATACCAAATCATGTGCCAAACCATCTGCTCACGTTGCGAGTCAGGCAGATCTTCCGGCTTGGAATCGCCCGTCGCGCTGAAGTCTGCGATGTCCTGGCCCAAAAGCGCCCTCTTGATGGTGTTTTGGTTTGTCTCTTGACGACGGTGGTTTGCGGTACTTTGGGACCGGATGTCAAGTGCGTAGCCCTATGAGGGGTGCTTGGATTCGGCATCTGACGCGACAAGGCACCGGAGCGGACTGGAGGCCTTGGAGGCGCTGGGAGGTGTGTTCAGTGGGTATCGAGGGGCGCAGCAACAAACCTTCCTCCCCCACACAATAGAAGCTATAGCATAAGTATAAAACTTTGTTGCAAATTTTCATGTGTAAGGCAACCCCTGTTTTGCCAGTTTGCAGCTCCACGTTCAGAAGGTATTTAAAAAAGACAAAGGACCAGCCCAACACCTCCAACAAATCTTGAGAATATACTATACATACACATCGCATCTGTTTGTATGTAGTTCTAAATACATCTGTTTATCCACATCTGTTTATATACTTACACATATGTACATGTCAAAGCTCCAACATCAGTTTTACTGCCCCCTCCAAAAAAATATGTTGCCTGTTCTCTGAGCGGTTCCCGCTCCTCCGTGCCGTCGCTCTGGGGTGGCTCTTTGGGGATCTCCGTGGGCATGATAAACACGCCGAATAATCCGCTAACCATGCCCATCCAAAGTAGGAACCTGAGAAGATCTTCCGCCAACTAAAGAAACAGGGTCTATTTTCGATATGTTTTATCTTAGTGTATCTTTGGGGGGAAGAACACAAGCGAACAAAAGACAATTAATGCAGTGGTTACATGTGGTTACTATGTATATGTGTTGCATTTGTATATTGTGCATTGCAAGTGAGTGATTTCCATCAGCAGTGGTCAACAATCATGCAAGGGCATGTTGCTACACCATTTAATTAAGTATTATGTGTTTCCTGAGCTTGGCAAGGAACAAAAAGAATTGTACGTTTATCGATCTGAAATACCATCCCTTATAATAGATCCATTGTTGCTTCGACTTGCCTAGCGACTTTCAAAGGGGACATCCCCTTGTTGTGAACATCCACCAGTCGAACAGCAATTTGATTCGGTGTTGGTATTGGGCAAAAGGATCATCTCTACCAGCTCATACTCTCATACTCTAACCGCTAGAGCTCCCACGGACCCCGAACGGATCACTTGAAGTCGTTGATGCCTGGACAAAGGCCACAACGACTACATTGTGACTACATGTGCAGTCAGACAGAATGCAGTTGCCCCAAAAACGGTCACTTGCCACTGGATCAACGCGATCATCCCAGCTCTTATTGTGGGTTGGACCCAAGTGTTCATTTTCTACGATATTACAGTATACGCATCCGCATTGCATGGTGAATGATCCACTATGAATGCACCATCGGGCAAATAGATGAGACAGTGCGAGGGCCAGTAGATTGCACCATTCACCATAGTGGCAGTGGCCGATATTGACTCCGCCAAATATACAAAATTGGGGGATGAATGCTCCCTCGCTTGGGTGAAACCAGCGAACCCACAAGTACAACAAGTAGATGCGCAACCTCTGCTCTCCGGTTCTTTGCTTTCCTTCGCCTTTCGTTTCCCTCTCCTTCTCTTTCCCTTCCTTTCCCTCTCGATATCCTTTCCCTCTCCTCTCCTGTTCCTTTCTTCTCTTCTCCTGTCCCTCTCATTTCCTTTCCCTTTACCGTCCCTTTCCTTTCCTTTCCACATCATTGACTGGACACAGAACAAATGGGAAAGGAATTGAAAAGATTGGCCAAACCCATTCAAACCCACTAATGTGATCGACACTTCATTGACCTATTTTCAGAACCGGGCATGATTACAGCCAAGAAGTCTAAATTGTGTCGTTTTTGCGTGCTGGAAAGGCAAAATGGATGGTATTCCCCCCCACCTCCCGGTTGGGCCATCTCTACGTCAAAACGGCCTATTCTACATAGGGGTAGATGGCGCAACAATTTGTTGACCCTCATCGATTTGCCTAATGGAGTAATGCATATCTATGCCAATATCTTGAGGTTAAACCGTGCGACTTTATACACTTCTAAGATTTCTAAGCTGCACAGTGTCAGCCAGGTACCAACTTTTGAGACACCTTGTTATCAAAGAGCTGCATATATCAACACAAAGAGAAGGAATCAACAGCAGGGCTGTTCTATCTGGGGAAGTTGCCGACGTGCTAACAGATGGTCGCAGTCAGGCAGCACATTGATCCAGGCCATCATACTTCGTGGGCTGACCTGGTCACAGCAGTCGTGCGCAACCACGGAACTCTGGTGAAGTGTGTTGTCGAATGGCAAAGGGTTGGTCTTACACTTGTGAGACTGCAAGGCAAATTGCTCTGAGGATGGTTCAACTGACTTCCACACGATGGGTTTTCTCTGGTCCCCGATCCAACCATCATCTCAGTCCAAGCTGCTCGCTCCCCATCACCAGTGACGGCAAGCTTCAAGACCGTGAAGATCAAGGGACCAATTACGAGGCCCACATTGCGTGAGACTTGCGTCAGAATCCTGAGCTCCCAAGACTTGGTGCAGACTGAAAACACTGGTGGCTCCCAGGGTGTGGCACGGATTCTGGGTGGATGGCTGTGCCAAGAAGTGCTGTACTTCTATTGGATCTTGATAGTATAGTCTAAGCACTCTGTTGATGGACATTGGGTATCGTTGCATACAAAGTCCACAAAGCACCTGTCAACCTCAAGTTGAGAGCAAATCACGTATCAGCTTGTAATGGGTCTCCAAACTGTGCTGGCAAGACTTCATGCTGATTGATACAGCTCTGCCACAGTTCTTTAGGCTTGGATGGATCGACCAACAGCAACATATGCAGCAAAAGCAGGGCTTGTGAGTGCCGTCAAAGCTGAGCATCCTGTATTTCTTTACAAAAGTTCATGGTAGTTATATGTATACTGTATATAGTTATCCTATTACTGCATTAAAACCTTTCAGCCAGCTTTCAGACATGACAACCCCATGGTGACAGTGCTCAGCTGATTTAGGCTGTGTTGATCCAGAATCGGCCCAGCATGACTCCAAACACGCCAACCAAACCTGCACCAATTGATATTGGGATCTAGAGATTACAGCGAAGGAGGCCAGCGCTATTAGGTTGGAGGCCATCGCTCTTAGGTTGGAGGCCATTGCTATTAGGTTGGAGGCCATCGCTCTTAGGTTGGAGGTCATCGCTCTTAGGTTGGAAGCCATCGCTCCTAAGTTGAAGGACATGGCTCTTGGGTTGGAGGCCATTGCTCTTAGGTTGGAGGCCATTGCTCTTAGGTTGGAGGCCATTGCTCCTGGGTTGGAGGCCATCGCTCTTAGGTTGGAGGCCATCGCTCTTAGGTTGGAGGCCATCGCTCCTATATTGGAGGCCATTGCTATTAGGTTGGAGGCCATTGCTCCTGGGTTAGA